CTTTATTTTGTACATCAGGAAGGGGGGATAGGGAAGGGTAAGTGGAAGGAGTTGAGGGAAGAATGGGGTACATGCCCCTGATGGGGAGGACTGGGCTGGCTCTGCGGGCTTCTGGGGGTGGAAGCTCTCCTGCAGCCCCCCGATTGCCCCCTCTCCCCAGATGGCAGCCTGCGGCAAGTGCAGCCGGTCTGATGGCCGAGTGCTGTGATGTGCCCAGTGTGGGTACACCGGGCAATCCAAGCCAGGACTGCTTTGCAAGCGGGGCACCCCTGAGAATTGTCTGTCCGGGGTGTGGGTCGGGTCCCTTTAAGCACAGCCCTCGGCTAGCCTGAGACAGCAGCTCCACACTCTAAGTCCTCCTCTGATGCCCTGCCGGCACTGCTTCCGGCCATCCTTAACCCCGGTTCAGGGTCCACTCTGTGTGGACATGCTAGTTCGAATTAGCAAAACGCTAATTCGAACTAGTTTTTTAGTCTGGATGCGTTAGTTCGAATTAGCTTAGTTTGAATTAATTAATTCGAACGAAGTTAGTTCGAATTAGCGCTGTAGTGTAGACATACCCATACTGAACAATTTTGGTGAAGTTTGGCCCTGAGGATGTTAAAATGACAAAGGCAGATTATAGTGACTGTAGGCTGACTTACCTGTACCACATATCCAGAGATGCATTTAAAATTGGCAGGCTGAGGAGCTCCATTTATCAAAACATCTCCAGATAGCCCATGAGGATCTTTCCTTGCAGCTAAAATATCCAAAAGCCTAGAAGAAGAAAAATCCATCACCTTAAAGATCTCTGAAGTGTACATTTTCAACAAGCTATAGGAGTTGGGGCTAGTGAAAGGCAAATCTGGCAGACAAATAACAGTGTATAGCCAATTGTACACAAGCTTTCCCATGCTAAACATTTGGGCTGTGTCTAGACTGGCCAGTTTTTCCAGAAAATCAGCAGCTTTTCCGGAAAAACTTGCCAGCTGTCTACACTGGCCGCTTGAATTTCCGCAAAAGCACTGACTTCCTACTGTAAGAAATCAGTGCTTCTTGCGGAAATACTATTCTGCTCCCGTTCAGGCAAAAGTCCCTTTTGCGCAAAGCTTTTGCACAAAAGGGCCAATGTAGACAGCTCAGATTTGTTTTCCGCAAAAAAGCCCCGATTGCAAAAATGGCGATCGGGGCTTTTTTGCGGAAAAGTGCATCTAGATTGGCACGGACGCTTTTCCGCAAAAAGTGCTTTTGTGGAAAAGCGTCCGTGCCAATCTAGAAGCTCTGTTCCGAAAATGCTTTTAACAGAAAACTTTTCCGTTAAAAGCATTTCTAGAAAATCATGCCAATCTAGACGCAGCCTTGCAATTATAGTTCAGATTTTTAAAATCCCCTCAAAGAAGAGAATTGGCCTGTTTCAGTAAAATACACCCCCTACTGTGATTGATCCATAAGGGGAGCATGTCAGGAAACCATTTACTAAAAATAAATGAATTGATTTATAAATGAAAATAAATAAATTAATAAAATTGGCTCTCCTTTTCTTTTTTTGTCTTTTTTATTGCTGTTATATAAAATTTCCACTTGGAATGAAATTCTGCTCTAAAATCTATGGAATTATTAGCTCAAAATCTTGCATTTGGAGTGTTCACAAATATTTTAAACAAATACTAGGGGGCGATTCCCCCTGCTTGCTGCACTTGCCAAACCCCCTCTATGGTTGCCCCATCTCTCCCACTAGCTGCCAGAGAGAAGCAGGTCAAGGCAGAGCAGCCCCAGCCTGTCCTGGCTCTCCCTCCTTGCTTGGCCTGGGGCGGGGGAGCATGCGACGCCTCTTCCTGCCCTGCCAGGGGCAAGGGTGCCTGAGAAGGGGGGGTAAAGGGGCTCCCTCATCCCCAGACCAATCATAGTCTGTGGGTGGTGTAGCCCAGAAACATTCTGGCCTCACCCCTTCCAGTTTAGGCCCCCACCCTTTCCAGGGTGGTCCAGGGCCATTTCAAAAATTTTTAGAAAGAAAGAAAGAAGGTTCTTTCATTGATTCAACACTTACGAAGATTTGCCACTGCCAGTAGGTCCCAGAATTGCATTCAGTCCTGATCTCATAACCCCACTGTAAGACAAAACCAATTCCTTGTTTTATTTATAGGCTAGTTCTATTCATTGCAGAAATGTGCTATGCATCAAATCCTTTTGGGTCTAGTGAAGCTAGTTGGTCACATAAAATAATTACAATTCCTGCTTAGTTAACATTGATAACTTAACATAAAAAAGATATCCTACACTGTTAACTAAAAAGTACAACCCAGAAACCATAATGATCAAACAATAGGAAGACATATGTTGATGTACAGCTGTATACTGAGCACAAGCTTACTAGAGAATACATACATGGTCTTAGCAAGAATAGTTCTCTGTCTGAACATCTGATCATCCAAATCAGACAAAAGGCATATGGAGTGGAGTAAAATATAATTAAAGTTATTGAGTAGTAGTGAATTGGACATGACTTCTCAGTGACAATATTTTTTGCCCATTCCAAATCCCAGAACAGATAGATCATCAGATACATATTTGGAGATCCTCTCTGCTAGTCCAGTGTTTCTCAACCAGTGGTACGAGTACCCTTAGGGGTACTCTAGAGAAGTCTAGGGGGTACGTCAACGCAACTGAAATTTGGAGAAAACTGAATTTTTGTTTTAAGTTTTACAGCGCTTTATTATTTTTATACTTTTTACACCCAAACATTTCATCGCCCACCCGGCTACAATTAAGTTGTTTAAACAAATGTGTTGCACTGGTGGGAAAAAAATTGTGTGTGTGAAAACTGTAGGTATTGGGAGTACTTATAATTTTTTAAAGGGGTTCAGGCAGTCCCCGAGTTACGAACGGGGTCCTCTCCATGGTCTCCAGCAGACCAGGGAGAGGAAGCAAAGCGGCGGAACACGCGGGCAGCGGACAGCCCAGACTCGTCTGGGCTGTCCACTGCCCGTGTGCTCCGCGGCTTTGCTCTGCTTTGCTCCCCGTCCCCCTGGTCTGCAGACCAGGGGGACGGGGAGCAAAGCAGAGCAAAGCCGCGGAGCACACGGGCAGTGGACAGCCCAGACGAGTCTGGGCTGTCCGCTGCCCGCGTGTTCCGCCGCTTTGCTTCCTCTCCCTGGTCTGCTGGAGACCATGGAGAGGACCCCGTTCGTAACTCGGGGACTGCCTGAACCCCTTTAAAAAATTATAAGTACTCCCAATACCTACAGTTTTCACACACACAATTTTTTTCCCACCAGTGCAACACATTTGTTTAAACAACTTAATTGTAGCCGGGTGGGCGATGAAATGTTTGGGTGTAAAAAGTATAAAAATAATAAAGCGCTGTAAAACTTAAAACAAAAATTCAGTTTTCTCCAAATTTCAGTTGCGTTGACGTACCCCCTAGACTTCTCTAGAGTACCCCTAAGGGTACTCGTACCACTGGTTGAGAAACACTGGACTAGCAGAGAGGATCTCCAAATATGTATCTGATGATCTATCTGTTCTGGGATTTGGAATGGGCAAAAAATATTGTCACTGAGAAGTCATGTCCAATTCACTACTACTCAATAACTTTAATTATATTTTACTCCACTCCATATGCCTTTTGTCTGATTTGGATGATCAGATGTTCAGACAGAGAACTATTCTTGCTAAGACCATGTATGTATTCTCTAGTAAGCTTGTGCTCAGTATACAGCTGTACATCAACATATGTCTTCCTATTGTTTGATCATCCACTGGTCTGATGCAGATTGATACAGCTTCTCTGACAACAAGTGAGTTGCCAAGTTTCTAATAATCACTCAGTCAGCTAGTTTTGATTTCTTTGTACTGGTATTTGTGAGTTCATTGCCGCCTTTCAAAAGTAGTTACATATACTCTCTATATAAATGGTCATTTGTACATCTCATTGTCCATTTCCATGGTCAAATTCCAACTTCAGTGAACCAAGCTTCATTTACATACACACAGACATGTATGTGCATCTGCAACCTCTATTTAAGTCCAAACACCTACTCAAAGCAGATCAATCCCAAATAAATCAACCCAGCCAGGGCTTTGTGAAACCGAAATTAAAAAACCTCTAGGGATGGAGATTCCACCACCTCCCATTCCGTTGCTTCACCACCCTCCTAGTGAAATAGTTTTTCCTAATATCCAACCTAGACCTCCCCACTGCAACATGAGACCATTGCTCCTTGTTCTGCCATCCACCACTACTGAGAACAGCCTCTCTCCTTCTTTGTTGGAACTCTCCTTCAGGCAGTTGAAAGCCACTATCAAACATCCTTCTCTTTTGATAAATAAGCCCATAGGTCATGTGCTCCAGTCCCCTAATCATTTTTGTTGCCCTCCACTGGACTCTCTCCAATGTGTCCACATTCTTTCTGTAACGAGAGGACCCAGAATTGGACGCAGTACTCCAGATGTGGCCTCACCAGTGCTGAATGAAAGGGAATAATCACTTCCCTAGAGATGCTGGCAATGCTCTTATTAATAGACCCGATATGCCAATTAGCCTTCTTGGCCACAAGGGCACACTGTTGACTCATATCCAGCTTCTCATCCACTGTAATCCCCAGGTCCTTTTCTGCAGAACTGCTACTTAGCCAGGTGATCCCCGGTCTGTAACAATGCTTGGAATTCTTCCATCCCAAGTGCAGGACTCTGTATTTGTCCTTATTGAACTTCATCAGATTTCTTTTTTTGTCTGCTCATGCAATTTGGGGCTAGTTATGAGAATTTGGCCCTTACCACTAAATCTTTCATCTTTAACAATTACTAAAAGAAGGGAAATGTTGATCATTATCTCGGAAACTACTGCCTACTGAGTCTACTGCCTACTATGTTTTATTGAAAGAGCTGTCTCCAAACAAAATGACTGCCAACTCAAATACATACTTAATATCATTTCCTTCTGGCTGTTGAGCTTGAAATAGTTCTTTGCATCTAATGAAGAGTCAATAAGTCAGGTTTCCAAGTATTTCTTTAAATATAGATGTCCTTCCTACATGACAAATGCCTCTCTAAGGGTGCAGCATTATTTTGGAATAACGGCATTTATTCCGAAATAACAATGTAAGTGTAGAAACTGTAGAAACCATTTCATATTTAGCTAGAAGCCATCTTGTATAACAGAAACCATTTCAGCTTTTCCCTCTCGCACGTAGACCAGAGTGAACTTTCTGTCACCCCGTGAGAAGAGGCCTACAGGATGGGCTATTGGAATATGTTAATTGGGCTGGTTCAGACAGGAGATGTACTCCCTCGTACCTGTCCGCCATCTTGTTGATAAGGCTTTGTTTTTCCTAGTTTAATTGATGATTTCTGTAATTGGATGCCCTGACATCAGACTGTTTGGTTAAGGGTATAAAGATACTAGAATTGATTGTATTAGCCAGCTCTCTGGGTGGAGGGTGAGGGGGGGGGGTGTCTACACAACACTGTTACTGTATTTCGGAATAATGGCCATTATTTGGAAATAGCTAAGTGTCTACACAGCAATGCCATTATTTTGAAATAAATTAGAAATAACAGACGGCTTATTCCAACTTCTGTACCTCATTCCACAAGGAATAACGCCTATTCCAAAATAGCTATTTTGGAATAGAAGTAGTGTGAATGCTCCATGGCTGCTATTTCGAAATAGCTTCCTCCCAGGGCCATTCAAACTAATTACTCCCCAGTGCCTCCTGGGGCTCTAAATCAAGATAGCATGTCCACATTAGGGAAGCCTGCCTCAGACTAATTTTGAGGCTTCCCTGTAGTGTAGACTTGCTATTTTGAAATAAGCTATTTCAGAGTATTTCTTCCGGAATAGCTTATTTCAAAATAAGCGTGCAGTGTAGATGAACCCTTACAGAGGGATGGCCAGAGAACAGTATATTACATGTCTGCAAAATACCTATCACGTGAAGGTTGCTACAATAAAAATAAAAAATGTATCGCCGTTTTAGTTTCAGATCAGCTGGAATTTATGAGCTTTTCACATACAATATTGGGAGCATAGAAACTGGAGAGCAAAAATAGGCCCCTTCCCAGTTTGGATATGACCTGAAGGCAGAACTACATGCATAGCTTTGAATATCAGAATCTTGGGAAGATTTAGTCTCTAGACTGCAAACTTTTTTCGGACGAAGCTTTTCTGGAAGAGATCTTCCAGAAACACTTTTTTCGAAAGAGAGTATCTGTAACCCATGCACCTAATAGGGAGCTATCTCTTTAAGAGACCCCTGTGGGGTAGGTAAGAATGTTACTGTTGCTGGGCAGATTTAGCACTCCACACCCAGAAGTTTCTGGAGTTGAGTACACTGTAGTTTGGGGTCAGACTCCATGAGCAATCAGGCAGGGTCAGACTCCATAAGCAATCAGGCAGGGCGGATGCTTTTCTAAGGCTTGTGTGACCTGGAAGAAACTAAGCCAGGAGCAAAGAACTGATTTTAGCCAAATTGTTCTTGTGCACTTGCTCAGCTCCTCTGTAAATGTAGCAATGGGGGAAGGAGTCATTTCTATTTTGTTATTCTGAGTTTTTGTACCAGAGGGGTAGCCGTGTTAGTCTGAATCTGCAAAAGCGGCGAGGAGTCCTGTGGCACCTTATAGACTAACTGAAGTGTAGGAGCATAAGCTTTCGTGGGCAAAGACCCACTTCGTCAGATGCATGTAGTGGACCATACTGTCACTGGTACATTCTCCTGCACATCCACCAACGTAATATATGCCATCATGTGCCAACAATGCCCCACTGCTATATACATCGGCCAAACAGGACAGTCCCTACGTAAAAGAATCAATGGACACAAATCTGATATTAGGAATGGCAACATACAAAAACCTGTAGGGGAACACTTCAATCTTCCTGGACACACAATTGCAGATCTAAAGGTAGCCATCCTGCAGCAAAATAACTTCAGGACCAGACTTCTTCAGTTTTGTTAAATAAAGATAGTTAGTGTTTATGAAAAAAGGTGTATTTTATTTTACATCAGGAAGGGGGGCTGGCAGGGATAAGTGGAAGGACGAGAGGGAGGAATGAGGCACAAGCCCCCAGTGAGGCAGACCAGGGAGACTGTTAGTGCTCCTCAGGGT